TCGGAAAGCACGGGAGATCACTTCGCCCACTGCCTCATCGCCTTTGAAAATGTCCAGCGCAGTTGTGGACGAAACGTCAGGAAGAAATTCCGATAGACCACGGCTTCAAAGCCCGGAAAACATTCCTAAATGTAATTTAACCGGCCGTGAAAGCCTTCATAGTCTGGTAGACTATTTTGTTTAAATTTTATGTTGCTGGTAAGCAACTTGCCTTCAACGAAAACTGATAAATCGGGTTGATTGTATTGAGTTCATTCAGGATGAAATACAATAAGCTCGCTCGCGCCGCTACAGGCCTGTAATACTCCCTCGCTTGATCGATTTCAACTGAAGTGATTTTAGCTTCAGCAACTTTCTGCTCAATTTCAGCTGCAGTTCTTTTAGTCGTTTCCAAATTTTCTACTAAAGTAGTGTCACCTAGAAGATTACTTCCTGCTGAAGAGAGGCGAGACAGCAGATCATCTTCAAGACTCTTCAGCATGATTTTGAAGTCATTCTGCTGCTTTGTTAAGTCTGCCTTCAGTTCTTCCAGATCAGGACGTTCAGCCTTCACTACTTCTGCAAGCAGCTGGTCTTCAAGCCCGTCCCTGGTCACCGTGAAGTTTATGAGAGTTGCTTGGGCTTGCATTTCGGGCTTGTAATGTGGATTGGCCAGTTTTGTATGCAGGATTAGTCGGAAGTTGGGGTTGTATTCTATTTCTTTATCGCCAATTTTAATCGCCCTTAAATATAGTTCGCAGCGCGTTTAAGTTGGAAGTCTTTGTACGAAGCCTCGCTATACTTACTTTCCCTTTTTTATTAAATTCCTGCCTAGTAGAGTATCTAAGACAGGATCAACAGTTTCCTCAATGTTCTCTACTAGAACTGTGACTCCTTGAGCAATGGCGTTTTCTATAACGTCTAAGTATCCCTTTTGGCCTAGTCGTATCACTTTGAGGTCGCCTCCGAATTTCTGCTTGATCCATTTGATTCCTTGCAACTTAATACAGAGCAATAAGCAACGCATATATTTTCTGGTCCATAGCAGATGAAAATGTTCAAGACAAACCTGTGGGTCAATCATTAAAGGCCATCTATCTGAGTTAATTAATATCGCGGCATTTTCCGTCGACATTCTATCACTAGGAAGACCTTCGTTGTGCCACACTGCTATGATGGTATCGTCAGTCAGTAATGCTAGAGCATCGATGTTTTCCGTTAAAGGCACGTTCGGCTAAAACACCAACATCGGGAAATGCCTTCATTTTCATCATTGCAACTTACATCCAGACTCTTGATGAATGGCAGCCACAGTTTATGCATCAAATCATGCCTGTATTGCTTGGTGAAGCAGCCGACGTAGGAAATAAAGGCTGTAGTTAATAGAACATCTCCAGGCATCATTTTCCCGCTTTCCAAGAAGCTGAAACAGCCATGAAAATGTCCCTGCGCTGCAGTGAAGAATGCAGCTTTTTGATCAATTACCTGTTAACACTTTCAGCCCATCGCACGTTTTCACTAGCCAATCCGCCAACCAACCGATTGGCTAAAGCAATGGTTGCATTGGTGGCATCAGCTTCTTGTTGGCAAAGCAACTTCTCCCTTGTGGCCTTTTCGAAGTCCGCTGTAAGTTTTGCCAGTTGGGATTCTAAAGACTAAGAAAGTTGTCATGTAGCGGCTGCATAGATGGGCAATTGTGCAAACTTACCGCCACTTTCCTTTTAATCGAATTTAATTTTTCTTGGGCTGCAGCAAGTTCAGCGTTAGCAGCAGCCAGAGCTTTTCTTTTAGGCTCAACATCGCAATATACTTCGTAAAATTTGATGATGTTAATGACCCAAGCACATAATCCAGCTGCTGCGGCACTTTTAGACCGCACAAACTCCGGCTCAAATTCTGCGTCTTTGAGATACGGTTCGATAGCTTTGATGATTTCAGGATGAATATTTTCCTTGTCATAGTTGATTAAGGCGTCCAGAAAAGCATCTACTTTTGCCATGACAATTTTCGCAGCCTTCCAGCTGCGATCTTTCGGAATTTTCGCTGCTGGAGCTAAAACGACCATTACTGCCGCAGTGACGTTGGTGACCGCCCCTGGAGGAGACCCGAAAGATTTAAGTTCTGTTAAATTAGCTTTATTGAGTGTGTTTAAAGCCTCTTGGGCGGCGATAAGTGCAGGTTCAGCTTTCAGTAGATCTTCCTCGCAGTCTTGCTGCTTTTTGCTAACTTCCTCGGCAATGATGGCCACTTTTTCTTCCTCCTCGTCTGCCAGCCGCTTTTCCTTTGAAACCTTTTCTGTTTCTACGCCTACTATTTCGATTAGTGCGTCGGCAGCGTCGTTCTTTTCCTTCAATTCAATTTCTTGCACTGCGAGTTTTTCTTTGAGCTTGTCCACTTGAATCGAAGTGGTTCTCAATTTGTCGAGCCCATTTTCTAATCTCTCCACCTTTAATTGGAGTTCTTTCGATTTCAATCTCAGCAACTTGGAGTATAGATTTATTTGTTCCAAATACGACTTGGGGGTGGTGTAGTTGTACCGTCGCTCATTTTGCAAATACATTTTCGAAGTGATATTGACTGAAGAATGCGCATAGGCCATAAATCGGGCAGCTGATTCCCTAAGCTCCTCGGGAAGAACGTCAAGATCCTGCAGAAATCTTAGAGATACCGATACAAGAGCCTCCTGGGGCCATTCGTGAAACCAGTTGATTTGCGTACAGTTTATAATCGCTGGGAACTTTCTTGAACGCACTCGAAGTGTGGAACCAACGGGAGAAAAACACAGGACGAACTTCAGTTGCTTCCTCACTCTATCGATAAAGAATTTCCAGCAGTTTTCTCGAGTGTCGAGCATCCCAGCACCTTTCACTTCATTCCTGACCCCCGCAATGATATTTTCCACTTCATCATCGGGGAACATGTCTGGAACTTCACCAGATGCGAGCATGTCGTTGATCAGAACTAGGAATTGCTCATTGGGCACTTGGGCGTCTGTCATTAGAAACATGATACCAACGTTTTTTAGTCCCGATTTGAGATAGAGTGCGGCAAGTTCATATTTAAGGTCTAGAACTCCATAGCCTTTTTTCAGTTGAACTTGGGAGACTTCAAGGGACGAAATAAAGGCAGCTAGACGCGCTAGAGATTGTTTCCCACTTCCCCCGACTCCGACCAACAAAGAGCTGCCTCTAGGGGACTCTAGAATCCGATTTATTCTGCATACGTGCATCATTGCGTCTTCGAAGAGCACCAAGTTCATGGCCGCTACCAAATCATTGTAGCTGGACATAGCTTCATTCAGAAGGCTATTCAAATTGCTCCAGCTGGCGATTGGCATGTATTTCGGCTCCCCAATGCCCCCTGTAAAGTGGCAGTAAATATTCGGCCTTTCGAACACCACGGATTCGTCAATTTCTTCGAAGTTTTTCTTAAATACATCCGTTTGAAGTTTGGAAAAGGCATCGATGTCCTTTTCGTCCGTTAGTTTATCGCCGTATACTCGTTGGCATTCGTGTAGCCATAGTCTTACCAGATCAGAGGGCTGATTTAGGCAATCCATAGAACTGAAGAGCAGACCCTGAAAATCCAGGGGTCAGTAATGTAATTTGTACAGGGTTATTCACGCTATACGGCACGGAAGTTTGCGGCTAAACCGTTTGATTTTTAAAAAGTATTATAATATGAATTGTCCAACGCCTACAGTGCGCGCATTTTAAAAATATTTTCGTGATGTACA